AGATGCGAATATTGCTAGAAATGTAAGACTTGCTTGCATCAGCCTCAGTAGTTACAAGAAATAAATTAGCTAAAATAATTAGAATTGAAGGCGAATGAAGAATTATTCAAAGAGCTCCTTAGGTTACTTAGAGAAATCTCATCAGCTCAGCTAAAACATCTGAATATAGTTGAAACCTTCGACTCCTATCTATCAACTGACTACAAATTTATAACAATAAGTGAGATGGCTCAACAAGATCTAAAGAGTTTTGTAGATCTACGATTCTAAAAAGCGTAAAAACTGACTTTCCAAGAGATTTGCATGATATTTTTTCAGATACTAAATTGTCTTGAGTATATTCATGACTAGAACTTCACACATAGAGATATTTCTCCACAAAATATCCTAGTTTTCTAGGACTAGCTTATCAAAATTTGTGATTTTGGATTCGTATCTTATGGTGATCTAACTAATACAGAAGTTGGAAAATAAGATTATGTTTCCCCTGAGGTCTACTGAGGAACTTAAAACTACAACAAATCAATTGATATTTGGTCACTCGGAATGACTATCTATTACCTTTGTACTGGATCAACAAAATACAATTAAGAAAACGCAAATGTTATTGCTAGAGAAAATAAACATATTGAATTACCAAAAGAGTACAACAAAATTCAAACTTTATTTGATAAAATGATACAATTAGAGGCTTAAAATAGACCTTCGGCCTCACAGCTCAAAGAAGACTTGATGAAATTCATAGATGAAGAGAGTCCTATTTTCTAAAACTATCAATCATCGCTTTTGACCCATCTTATGAATTAACGCAAAAGTAAACTTCAAAAACTAGAAGAAGAATATGAAAAGCAAATTCAAAGAAATTTTAAAAGAGAAGTGATTATGTAAAATAGCGATTATCAAAAGGAATTTTAGCTTTTGGAAAGGTCATAATTTAATGAAGATGAAGAAGAGAAAAAAGATGTAAGTATTATTGAGCAACTATCCAGCAAGATCTAGCAATGGAAAATATTTGACTTAACTAAGCACTCATTTAATCCAATAATTCATAACACGTATTAAAAAACAACTTAATATTAAGGATAATTTGATAGAATATTTAAAGTAGGAGATAAATATATAGTATGCTATTAGCTTGGAGTAAAAAGTATGGTATTAGATCGAAATTTACAATGCATAACAGGATTAGATTAATATGTATCATTGTTGCATGAACAGAATGGCAATGTGTTGCTTAGCTATTAAAACAAAATAAGTTAACTAATATGATTAGATAAATAAAAGCCAGAGATTTAGATAGATATTTATAAGGGTAGTAACAGTATTTTTAAAATATAGAAAATGAGTGATGATATATTTATCACTGGATAGGAGTATGGATATCTAGAGCTATTTAGTCATTCAGATCTCTTATTCAAATAAACATTTCAAATTAAAGACTAAAATCAAATTTACGATATATGTTTAATTGAAAGGAATTTTGATGAGTATACATTTGCCTTTGGTACTTAGGATTGTGGTATTGTAATTGGTAAAATAATAATGAAGAGTTAATTTGAGTATTAATTCTAAGAGGATCAAAATAAATTAATAGAGAATGCTGAATGTTCCTCTATGATGCTAATTAAGTAGAATGTTATAGCTGTTACTGTTTAAACAATAGTTAATCAAGCTTATTAATACTATTTAAAGATATTAGATGTTGAAACTAGAAAAGAACTACATTCTATTGATTTAAATTCTACTAGTTATATCTATGCATCATTAGATTATGACTATAATAAATATCCTTTTGCTTTCATTAAAGACAAGTAGAAGATATCACTCATTAATATGAATACCTATCAAATCATTACCGTCATTCAATCTAATTGTAGTTATTAGACACAATAATAATTGATATAATAGAGAGATAAGGATAATAAATATAAATTGATTGACAATT